GGCCTACCACCGCCACAGACGGGGAATAGTATGGAACAAGACCTACCCATCACAATAGTCACATACAACCCCTTCCTCGTATCCTTATACCAAAAAATCGCTAAAAAACAAGGATTACGACTGTCGTTCAGAAGATGTCCGTCTATGTTTAAGCTTTTACGCAATGAAAAAGATAAACCTAAGGAGGATAAGCTGCCAGGGGTATACGCTGTTCCCCTCGTGGACCACAGATTTGAGAGACAACTTATCTACATTGGTGCTACTAAGCGTTCGATTGGTGTCCGATGGGCGGAACACAGAAGTGACATCATTCACAACAGGGCTACTACTTTGTTATCCACGTATGCTTTGGACCCGGAAATTTCGGTAGACTTTGATAACGCTAAACTCCTCATTACCACTAAATTTACGGATCACATCAAATGGTTGGAACAAATGGAGATCTACAAGGCATACAACACGTCTGAACCTATTAACTCGAGGGATGAAATTACCCTATCCCTTGCATGGCAGGCACTACTACAGAAAGAAGATACGCATTAATAATGCATTTCATAAATAGGATGTAAACATCGTGCATAGGAATTTTTATACCGAACATTTTTTATTTTTATTTTTTATTATATTTATTTACGGAATTTCGGGAATGCACGTGATTCACATTAACGTTGAATTTTGACTTTTGAAATGTTGTTCGGTAGAATAATTTTTCGAATATCGCTATTTACTGGTCTTCGTTCATGGTTATTTTAAAGACGAATCGCTGCTTGAGAAAGGTCCTAGGGAAGGAACCGAAAACGTTCGCAGTATATTTTACGATTATTTAATACCGGTTATTGGTTTTAGTAAGTGATATTTTTATATTAATCCGGTATTTGAAGATTCTTTATATATATTCTCAGGTCATTATTGATGATTTCTTGCCATTTTTCAGGCAGCTTGTCAGTTCTCCTTGCATAAAATTCGGTGATTTCAAATCAACAAAACAGTCTTTACGGGCAGAGTCAACTTTTTAATTCAGGCTTCTCATCTACCTTATTATGTAAAAATGATTAAAAACAATTGCTTTTAAATGTTTTTGTTTGAAAAAGGGACAGGATGTTTCTTTTGAATTGTGAATATTTTATATATATTTACTGTCCTTGGCCATTTCATTAAATTTTGTATTAATTGAAATATTTTTTAAGATATTTAAAAGCTAATCTCTCTAAAATATTTATTTATTTACAAAATTAAGATTTTAGATGTAATTTCTGTAATTTTAAAAATAAAGCTTTATACATAATATTAAAATGTATTTAAATCTAAATAATTTATTTAAAGTTTGTTGCTGGAAGTAATGGTCCATTTCCTATAGTACCTGTTGAATTTCCAAAGTTACAAGAAATGAGGTAAATATAAATTCTATGAGAAAAAATATAGATGATGATTTAAATTCTTTCTTAATTGTTATTATTTATTACTCTTCTGTTACTTTTGCATGATAATTATAAGATGTAGTTTTGTTTTTATTTAATTGTAAAATTGTTATTAATAAAATAGATTTGTGTGTAAACGTTGTAAATAGAGAGAGAGAGAGTTGTTTGCAAACTCTCTCTCTCTTGCGATAATTAAATTTCAGAAAATATGGATAAGATCGTATATCATGTACTCCTGCCTGCTAAAATAAATTTGTTATTGTTTATTAATATGGAATCCGAGTGAATCACTTCTTTGTTTCTCTCTCCTCACCTCTATTCTGAATCCAACTACTCACGTGATGTAAATTCATGTTTTTTGAGTCCCGAGAGACTCAATGGTGTCACAACCTGACGTGGTGTCAGAGACACCAACCCTACGGTCACACTAGGATAATTGTGTCATCCGCATAGCCCTGTATGCAGCAGCCAGGAGGCAGGGTGTTGTTTAAGTGCAGAATAGAGTTATAGGCTATGTTCCAGAGATCAGGATCAGACCTGGATCCCCGAGGACAGCCTCCAGTGATGGGTATAACTATGTTATTTTGTGTTGTATAAACACCTGCACTCCTGTTGCTAAGATACGACTGAAGAAGTTTGTAAAGATTTCAAGGGCAGTGATGAGCATGTAATGTGTGCAGGATAAAAGGCCACCAGGCATGATCGAAGGCTCCTCTAAAGTCATAAAGTCATACAATTAATACAGACATTTACTTCTTTTACTGATAGTTCAGATTAATTTTAAAAATTAATATCGATTATTTATGTGAAGAATTATAAAATGCAACAGGGAGGAGAGCATTGCAGAATGCCAGGGGATCAAACTATGTCCCAAATATAACATATGGCAATATCAATATTGTCATTTGTAAATTTTAACACAGCTGTATTAATTTTGCTATATTATGAATTTTGGAGAAAAGTCTGTAATACTCTTATTAATCTAACATTGGTTAAAATTTTTTTGAAGTATTTTAGTTAATCCACAACCATAAATTTATGTGGCTTTCAAAAAAAATAACAAATCCTGTTTAATCCATGTACAAAAGTATGTATTTATTAAATTTATCTCTTAACAAATTTCCTGAACTTTATAAAATATTAATAAACTGGAAAAAAATCAGAAATTGTTTTGTTATGCAATCAAAATTATTAAAATGAAAAATGATAAATAATACCATTTGAATTAATATTAATTAAGTTATTTATCATTTTTGGTTCTTTATTCTCATTTTTTTCCATCAGTTCATTAACATCTGCCCTCAAACTGACACTGTAAATGGTAATTGTGAAAGATTCGTAGAATTAATAGGATAAACTATTTTAATTTTAATTATTCGGCAATCATAAAAATTAAATAACTATTAATTAGAAAAAATAACTACCTAAAAAGTTGAAGCACTAGCATATTTGCATAGTAGGTCATATGCTGTTTTATTTTGTCAATGTGCTATACTGTAAAGAACATGAGGGTCAGGGAGTATGTACAGTACAAAGTTGGTTAGGGAAAGTCATGAAATTTAAAACAAAAATTTGAGTAGGAACCCTGATTATAGTTTGATTAGTATTAATTATTTTTGTTTGTATTTTGGTAATTAAATTTCTGAACCTATTGAAATTTTAAATTTTGTGTAAATACAGTAGAGCAGGGGTGTCCAACCTTTCTGTTTCTCTGGGCCACATTGGAAGAAGTCATAAAATTTTGGGCCACAAGTTTATCATGGCCCAATTCGTACTTGTATATACTTGTATATTTATACAAGTATATATATACTTGTATAATATACTTGTATATTTAAGGATCTACATGCCTAGATTATAGTAATAAGTATTAAAACTTTATCACGAAAAAGGATATTTTAAAAAATTACTTCTACAGACACTTTTAATTTCTACTTATAAATAGATAAATTTATTTATTATAAAGGAAAAAAAAAAAAATTTATTTGAAAAACACAAATATTTGTTTTATTTGGGTTTTTAATTAAAAAAAACGAAACACAGTTCTAAAGTGCATTTTTATTCAACAAATATATTTATAAATA